CCCCCCGAGGCCTTACCGTGGGGCCTGGCTGGCCTGGCCATCGCTTCCCTGCTCTCACGGGCAGTGGCACATTATTTTAAGGTTTTATCTGGTTTAGGAAGGTAGGGCTTGCTCTGCGTAAATGCAAGATAAGCAATTACGTAAGCTGGCACCATAGCTGGCGCAACTTGGGCTGCCAATGCTGTCCCAGGGAAGGACGCCGCTGTGGAAATCAGTGGCCCTTGTTGCCGTCCAGATTCCTTATCTGGCTTCTGCTCTTTGCGTTGCAGGCAAATCATAGGTCTTTACCCTTGCCCAAAGGGTCAGACACCACTGAGAGGAGCCTCTGCTGCAACATTAGCAAACTGAAGTTGTTCACGTACCACGAAATGTGTGGGTTTTGGTTTTTTTCTGCAAATAAAGAAAGGGTAAGAGTCAACAAATGCTAATGATTTAAAAACGAGTCTGCTTGCTTCAGGGTATGACGTGATATCCAGGTGCGGCAAGAAAGAAATAGTCTCCGTAAAGTAGCAATGCCCAGTGAAGCACGTTACAGGGGTTATTATGTTTTTCTCGCATACGGTCTTACCACACAGGGTTATAGGGCACCAGTTGCCACAACACGGGGCTCCACATTGCCTCTGCTAAACTGGCCCTGCTGCTAGTTCTGAGGAAAACAAAGAAAATCCTAACAGGCACCTGCAGCTCACGTATTTTCTGGTCGGAGAACACAGGGCCGAGGTGAGGCGGCCAGCTGGCACGGCGCTGGGCACGCCAGGCGCTGCGGGGAGCAGAAGCGCTTGGGACAAGGACAGACCCCGTGCAAAGGGCTCTCGTAGCGTACGCGCGCTCCTGTTAAAAGAGAGATTTGAGCAGGCTAAAGCTCCAGCCGAGCGGAACTGGCACCAGCAACGCTGCTCCCAGGCCCTCCCGGCCATCTTTCAGACAATTTCCTCAGAGGCGACACCAATAGACCGTGGAGGGGAGAAGTGGCCTTGTAGGGCCACGCAGCATCGGCGCGCCCGCTGCCACAACGGGAGGAGTTTGCCTGGCCGAGGGCTGGGCCTGTGAAATCCTTCCTCTTTTTCCTTCATTCTGAAGAATTCTCAAGAAAATCGCACCGCAGTCACATGTAATCTTGTAATTGGATCCTCTCAACATACAGAGGTATGGTCAAATGTCAGCCTTACCTCCCATTTTCAAGAGGGACAGAGACCACGACTGCCTCCCGAGCTGCTCTGTGTCCCTCTGGTTAAATAATTCTCCATAGCAACTGTCCCGTCCCCCC